AATAATATACCTATTAATATTTTAAATAAACATTTAAATTCTATTATTTTACTTTCATGGCGTTTGAAATGTTAAAACGATTTGAACTTAAAAACCTTATAAAAGAGCATCTGAATCATTATGATGTAACAGTTGGTGCAAAACATATGTTCTAAAACTGTGACGTCATAATGGTTCGAATGCCCTTAAAATTAAATTATATCTTAAAATTCCTCTCATAACGCTTCTAATATTTAATATTTAATTACTTTTCAAAATTTTAACTGAAATTCTTTTCTAAATCAATTCTTATTAAAATTCAACGATAATTGAATTATTTAAATACAAAATTTTTTTTTATAAAATTTAATTAGTATTTTACAAATTTTTAGTTACAATTATTCAAAAAATACAAATAATGTAATTTTAAAAATAAATTTTTAAAGTGAGAAAATAAAATTTTTTTGAATTATAAAATTTATATTAATGAAATTTGAAATACCCTTATTCTTTCAATTTTTTAAAATTATTTTTGGCTATTTATTTTCGAAAAATTTTAATAAAAATTTTTAAAAAACCTCATTTTTCCAGTAATTTTTGTTTAATAAATATTTTAATACTTATTGTTATTTATTTGTCCGCCAGAAATTAAAATTTCAAAATACTTTCAATATAAAACCTTTTGAAATTTAATTGTTTATAAAAATTAGAACTTCAGTTCTTTCAATTCTTCAAATGTTTGCGAAACAATTTTAACTAAAATATTCTTTTTTAAATCAATTTTTATTAGAAAGTTTTACAGGAATTTAAGATTTAAGATTTTCAAAAATTTGATATTTTTTAATACTTTGAAAATGCTGTTATTGTAAAAGTTGTGAGGTGAAAAAAACTAATACACTAATAAAAAACTAAAACACTATAATCACTCTATTTACAAATTAATTGTCAAAATTTTGACAATTGTTTGGCAATTTTTTTGTGAATAAAAAAAATATATTTCCTACAAAATTATCGATGTATTTCAAAAACTTCCAATTTTTAAGTAAAATAGAAATTCAAAAATGGTCAATATATTTTCTGACCGATTTTATTTGATAACCATTTAAGTCCTCTCAAAAAATTACTGTCATAACAATTTTTTTGGAATATTTAAATTATTTTCTTGAAATGTTAAAAATATCGGGGTTCCTTTCCCTAAAATTTTTGGAATTGATCAAAAAATTCTCCGTTTAGTGCATTTTTAATTTTTATAAATAATTAAATTTCAAAAAGTTTGAGGACCTCAAAAGTTTTATATTTAAAATTTTTGGAAATCTTAATTTTTGTAAAAAAAATAATAATTAATGGAAATTAAAATTCTTAAAAATTTCAAAACTAAAACTTTTTGAAATTCAATTATTTTTAAAAATTGCAAATGCAACTCTTGCAAAATTAAATTTTTTTTTATTTTCAGTTTTTAAGTAAAATTATTCCTTAAATAATTTATAAATATATTAATATGAAAGTTTTTCAAGAGTTAAATTATTCAAAATAAATTTAATTTTCCTATTCTGTAAATTTCAATTATTGTTAGAGATAGAAAAAAATTAAGTTTTATAGTAAAAATTCGGAGTGATTTTAAAATTCATAAGATGAACAAAAAAACATTTAAGAAGAGTTAAATATTTTTAATATATTCTGAACATAAAAAATTCTAATTTTCTCATCAATTCTAGAAATTTAATAATTTTTTCTATACTTTTGATTATATTCCCTGACTTTAGTTTACCAAAAATTTGCTTTTATCAAGAAATGTTTAGCATTTATTTTCATTCTTTTAATCAAAAATAAAGAAACCGTTGCTAAATAATAGATTACAATTATGAAAAGAAAAATTGTTTAAGAAAAATTATAAACAAATATGATTATTTTTTTGAAAAGAAAAAATTGTTGATCGCTTGGTGTTAAACTTTAAAATTAAAAACAAATTTTTTTGCTTCTATTTTATTTTCTGGAAATTCAGAATCATTTTGAAATGAAGTAAGCAGGTTCAATACTTTTTCCTAGACATTGAAATAAATAATCCATTCATAAATAATGATTGCGGTTCCCACCTCGATGTAATAATTGTAAACACCCACGACTGAAAGAAATGCAGCATCCTTTAGACTTCAATGGTAAATCGGGATTCTCAACGAGATCAAGGACATGGCAAAGTATTATTTCTTTTCAAATGAGCAGTTCAGAATATTTGTTCTTAGAAGAACATAAAAATAATTGCAAAAATATCAGAAGAAATGGAAATCACTTCTCGAAAATTCTATTTGCAAATCCTCATCTGTAATTTACCATTGTCCTACATTTTTCAGTTCTTTCAATAGATCAATTTTTTTCACGTTCGTATTTAAATCATTTTTATTTATAAATTTACAATTTTTTTTTTTTTTTAAATTTATCACTTTTTTTAATTCACAACATTCGACTTTTTCCAATTTTTTACTCTCGAGTTCTTTGTCAATTCAAATTTCTTTATAAAAATTAAGAAAAAATTTTCTTGTAATTATTAATATTAATAACTATAATTAATATTAAATTCCCTTTATTGCAACTACAACCGAGGAAAGCTGTAATATTAAGAAAATAAGAATTTATGTGAATTATTGTGAAATTAATGAAATTTATAAATGATTGTCTCTTTTGAATGTAAAGCTAATTCTAATATTTCAACAAGATTTTAATCTCCTAAGCAGGATATATGATTATACATGCCTGGATAAACGCATTTCGAATTCCATAAAATTACAAGAATTTGCAATTTTTCATGCTTTATTATTTCTCCTCTGTAACTTCTACTTGAGCTTACAATTCCAATTTATTGGAAATTTTAATAAATATTTTTAACTTTTACGACAATTTAACTATCAGGATTAACACAAAAATTTTATTTTTCCCCTGACTTTTCCCTGATTTTCAGACAAAATTTTGACTTTTCCTCTTCACAATTATATTCATTATCTCAATTCAATTATTATTTTCTAGAATTTTTAACTAAAATTCTTCTCTAAATCAATTATATTTAATAATTTTTCAAAAAGTTCTTTGAGAATTTTCAAATCTATTTATTTACAATTCAATTTTACGAAATTTCGATTATTCGAAAATTCTTTAATTAAATAAATATTTACTTCAAATAAAGAATTTCAATACAAATTTAATTAAACTTTTTCAAAAAATTAATTCTACAAAATTGTTAGTTAAAAGTAAAAAAATACAAATTTTAAAAAATTTTAATTTGACACCTCTTTTCAAAATTTAATTATTTCTAAAAATTCAAGCTTATAATGTTTTTAATATTCAATTATTATCTAAAATTTTAACTGAAATTCATTTCTAAATCAATTTTTATTAGAAAATTCTACGGGAATTCAATTATTTAAATACAAAAGTAAATTATTTATTGAATAATTGAATGTTTCTTAAAATTGAATTCTCATAAAGAATTTTATCAACAAATTTTTAAATAATTGAATATTTTTGACGATTTTTAACAAAATTATTAAGAATAAATTACATTTTTCGAGGAATTTGATTGAAATTGTATTAAAAATAATTGAAATTATACGGTGAGTTATATTATTTATGAAAATAATTGCTCTGACTCAGCAGAGTTATAGTCCCTCATTTTTTCATAGCTTTAAAATTTGTTTTTCAAAATAATTGTATTATTGCAAAGAAATTTATAAAAAAATGTGTAAATAATTAATTTCCTCTAAAATTTTTATTATGTATAAAAATAATTAAATGTTTGCGTAGAATTTTATTAAGATTTTTTGTAAATAATTGAATTCTTTTGGAAAATTTTATTGAAGTAGTAGAAATTGAAAATCATTGAATTAAGGAAAATTTTTGAAAATAATTGCATTTTCGAAGAATTTTATTTTTGAAATCAATGAATTTCTGCAATTATTTGTAACTTCTCCAAAATCCAATTTGTTTTAGTAGTTTTTAACTAAAATTCCTCTATAAATCCATTATTTTTAATAAATAATTAAATTCATATTAAAAAATTTAACTAATTTCAGAAGAATTTGAATTATTGAAAATTTTTTATTTATGAAAATTGTAAACGCAACTCTAATCAAATTCAATTAATTTTGAGATATTTTTAAGTAAAATTATTCATTAAATAATTTGTTAATATTCAATTATAATCTAAAATTTTAACGGAAATTTATTTTTAAATCAATTCTCATTAGAAAGTTTTACAGGAATTCAATTATTTAAATATCAAAATACATAATTGATTATTTCTTGAAATTGAATAAGAATTTTATCAAAATTTTAGAAAATAATTGATTTCTTTCGAAGAATTTTAATAAAATTTTTGAAAATACATACAAAATTACATTTTTCAAGGAATTGTATTAAAAATAATTGAAATCCTGTGAAGAATTTTATTGATTATAAAAATAATTTAATTCTTCCATCGAATTTTATTAGAATTTTTGTAAGTAATTGAATTCCTGTGAAAAATTTTATTATTTGTAAGAATAATTGAATTCTTGAGAAAGACTTTATTAAAATTTTTAGAAATAATTGAATTTTTTTGAATCATTTTATGAAAAATTAAAAAAATAATTCATTCAAATTTTACAACTTTTTTAAAATAATTGAATTCTTTCGATAAATTTTAATAAAATAGTGGATACTGAAAATATCTGAATTTTAGCGAAGAATTCTATTATTTGTGAAAATAATTGAATTATTTCTAAGAAGAATTTTATTAAAATTTTTGAGAATAATTTTTTTATTTCAAATATTAGCGGATTTAAACTAGTGCAAATTGAAAAAAAGTAGCTTTTAGTGTCACAAGTTTAAAAAAGTATCCAAAATTGTAGCTAATCGTTAAAAAATATTTAAGAGTAGACTTTAGTAGATGAGTTTAATGTTTAAATTTATTTTTTAAGTTTCAATTGGATTATTGAAAATCACTCTTAAAAAAATTATTCTACAGATAAACGAATAATTAAAAAAATTGAATGGAAAATTAGAAACTAAATTTTATTGACAAATTTACAACTCTTTACAGAAGAATATTCGATTTTATGATTACAAAAGTGTTTCTGTGAAGCGTCACAAAAATACATGTATATATATATAACATTTAAAAAATGATTATCTAGACTTTCGTTACTATAAAAATTGAAAAATCAATTTAACATTTCTCCAGTTAATAACAGTCGAAAATTGAATTTGTATATTTAAAAAATAAAACTTTTAGCTCATTTACATTAAAAATAATTGAAAGTCACTTCGAGGATCAACCTTTATTAAAAATATTTTTCAAAACCTTTTCTTTTTTTGTTTTTTAATCATTTTCAATCATTTTCTAATTTCTACATATTTTCATTTTTGTCTTATTTTTGAGTCAATGAGCACATAGTCACGATGATGACATTTTGTTACATGAGACACGTGGGCAACAAAGTCTTAATGCATTGTCTCAATATTATACATGACCTTGAATTTGAAATCTGAATTTTACGATATTTAACCCCTTGGGCAAAGATTTCTCTTTTCTTTCTTACATCATAATATTCAAAATCAAAAAAACAAAAAGTAAAAAGTACGCTCAAATGCTTTAGAAGAAAAATTTCATTTTCCAACAAAATAAATTCAAGCATTGACTTTATTAAAAAAAAATAGTTATTTTATTTTTCATTCACTTACGAAGTAAACTTGCAAAAGTTGACAAAATTGACGCGAATTTGAACTTTGTGCAGAAATTTACAGTATACTGAATACAGTATAAATATTATATATATGTATAGTATATACATCACTAAATTATATTATAATATTCTGCATTGTTCTATCGTCACGGGATGTCAATTTAAAAAATTCGAACAATTTAAACATCTCCTTTTTTATAAGAGCAATAATTGAATACCTAAATAAATAATAAGTAATCAAAAATCTTGAATCATGAATATCACTCAATTCGATTATGCTATTCACATTAATTTATACTTATTTATATTTATTATTATTATTACAGGGAGAGAAAAAAAAACATTTAGCTTTTCTAGATATTTTCACAAGTTTCAATTAAAATATTGATAAATTTTTAAGTTACATTAAAAAGTTATATCCTAATAGGTAAGTTGGTTTTAAAGTTTGCAACATTTTTGAAACTTGTAAAATGTATGTAAAAAAAACTGGTTTACCTATTTATTGGTCTAACGCTTCCATTTTTCTCCACGTAATATACATTATCCGTTAAGAACAACTTCACTGAAAACTTGATAATGATGTCAAGATTTTTTTTTCTCAATTCGAAAAACATTTTGAATTTAATGTCTAGTAAAACTTTTTTCAACATACTTGTGTTTTGGGAACATCACTTTCATTGGTACCGTTTTAATTACTTGCTTCGTTTTTTCATCATCAACAACAACAACAACAACAATAATATTACAATCTCGAAACAACATCACTCAACCAGTCAAGTAAAGCTGCTTCGCGTTCATTTCCACTTTGATTTTCTATGATGCATTTTGTTTGCTAAATTTTTTATTCTGTAAAACAAAAAATTTTTTACTGATTAGCTGAAGTAAACATTTATTTTTTATTAGAATATATTTTATTTATTTATTTTAAGTTATATTTTATTTTATTTATTTATATATTTCATTTTTTTATTAGAATTTATTTTTATTTTAGAGATCCGTACACTTTGTGTATTAGTCTCCCTTTTTGTCAAAATTACATTTCTTGCACTATTCGACCAATTGTGATCAAATTTAGTAGGGATACGTATTTTTCAATGTAGAATTTAAAAAATCATTCAGAGAAGCAGGCGCAATGCGCCTACATCATAGGGTTTCGTGGCCTAAAATGACAAAAAACTAAATAAATAATAATTTATTTAGAATTTTTTTTTACTTAAGATTGAAATTTTTTTTTATTACCATAGTAACGGTTGTTATGGCCTAAAATGACAAAAAAAAATAATAATTTACTTAGAAATTTTTTTGTACTTAAGATTGCAAATTGTTTTTATTATCATAGTAACGGTTGTAATGGCAATCATTACTATATCAACGGTTGCCACGGCAACGGTTGTTATGTCAACCATTAATATAGCAATGGTTATTATGGCAACCATTAACATAGCAACGGTTGTTCTGTTGTCTTAAGACTTAAGACATAGGACTTAATTCATAAGACTTAAAAGTTAAGACATAAGACTTAAGAATTATGACTTAAGACATAAGACTTAAGACATAAGACATAAGACATAAGGCATAAGGCATAAGACTTAAGACGTAAGACTTAATTACATAAGACTTAAAACTTAAGACGTAAGAACTACGGACGGACACCGGAGTCTCGCTATAAGGGTTTTGGCCCTTGGCCACGAAACCCTAAAAAGGCAAAACACGATTAGATTTGATTATCACGATGTTTTTTAAGATTTTAAGAAAAAATGTTGTATCCGTTTTCCCCAAACTCAGCCTTTTCAACAATTTTTTCTGAAACTTTGTAAAAAGTTGTACTTTTCAACTAAAATGACAAAAAAAATCTTAAACCCGATGCAAATTGATTAAAATGTAATTTTTCTAGAAACATGAAAAAATTCGAAAAAAATGGTTACCAATTTTATATTTTTCAATTTTAGACCTTGGAAATTTAAAAATAAGATTTCTGGTGTTTTTTATAGAGTAAATTTTAATAAAAATACAGTAAGTCAAAAGATTTTAATCATAATTTAGGTAGTTTTCTCGTTAAATGAAATATTAAAAAAAAATTGGTCAGCAGCTTTAAATTTTTCAATTTTAGAATTTTGAATTCTAATTTCAATTTTGGATATTTAAAAATGAGATTTCTGGTGCTTTTTATAGAGTGAATTTTAATAAAAATACAATAAGATAAGCCAAAAGATTTTAGTCATGTAAAATATAATTAAAGTCATTTGAGTCACTGTATTTTGATTAAAATTTATTAGTAAAAATACACCAGAAAACTAATATAATCTTATAAATGACAAGATCAAAAATTGAAAAATTTAAAGCTGGTGACCATTTTTTCGAATTTTTTCATCAGTCGAAAAGAAGTAAAATTTAATCAATTTGAATCGGATTCGCTGTTTATTTCTCGTAATTTCAGGTAAAAAGTTTCCGTCAAAGTTTTCAGAAAAATTCGTAATTCGTTTAAAAGGCTGAGTTTGGGAAAAACGTATGCAGCATTTTTTTTAGAAAATCTTATAAACAGGGTTGCCAAAAAAATTGAATCTTGCTCTCTAAATCTGAATATGTGAAATTTCACTTATTGTACGTTATAAGTCGTCCTCTCGATCAATAAGTGCATATACACTTATAAATAAGTGAATTTTTCACTTATTCTGAGTGAAATTTCACTTATTATAAGTGTATATGCACTTATTGATCGAGAAGACGACTTATAACGTACAAATATGTGAATTTTCACATATTCAGATTTAGAGAGTGTCTTTTCCCTGATTTCCAGACAGAATTTTGACTTTTTCCCTGGCTCTAAAAATATTCTGATTCATTCTAAAAATGATTAGAAACTCGAAAAAATATTCTAATACATTTATTTGCGATTTTCTTTAAATGTAAAATTATTCCAAAATATCAATAGTTTTATTAAAAATAAATATTATTTGTCCATAGCGGAATTAAAATTTTCAAAATTTTCAAATTCAAACTTTTTGAAATTCAATAACTTATAAGAATATTGTTACTGTAAATTCATCGAAATAATTTTTTTCAATTCAATTATTTTAAATAATTTTTGACAAAGTTCTTTGAGAATTTTGAAATCCATTTGTTTATACAATTCAATTTTATTAAATTTTCGATTCAACTTCAAATAACTTCAAATAATTTCAAAAATTATTATTATTATTTGCAACTTCTCCAAAATTCAATTATTTGCTATGGGGTTTTTTTTACTAAGATTCTTTTTTAAATAAATTTTTAATAATTAAATATATATTAAAAAATCTGTCCGCGCAAGCGCGGACACATTCTCATCCGCGCTTCGCGCGGGGGCTCGCTTCGCTCGCAAGTTTCAGCGCGCCTCGGGGCGCGCGATTATTGATCGTCGCGCTTCGCGCTCCGGCGATTATTTCGCACGTCGCGCTTCGCGCTCCGTGTGTTGTTGCGCGCTTCGCGCGCAAATGGCTCGCTTCGCTCGCCGGGGTCTGCAATTGTTGTGCATTATTTATGTTCTTGTTTCCTATTATATGTTTCATAAAACAGTTTTTTTTTCTTAAAGTTACTACGACTTTAAGGATTACATTCTCATCACATGTTTAAGTTTGCTGATGATTGCGATATTAAGTGAATTTAAATGTATATTTTTGGTCTTGATGATTAAAATTGTAAAGTTATTTTTAATTATACTAACTCTCTTAGTAAAAACATGATTTGCAGAAGCAGCTAAAATATTTTTAAAGAATTAGTATCAAATTTTTTGTGTAGTGTAGACCGGAGCGTAATGACTAACTTTTCACTCTTTGTTTATTTACTCAGACATTTTTGTTTTAATTAAGTGTTTATCTCCTAGAAAAGTTACTCTGGTATATTACTTTCTCATATGTGATGAGAATGTAAAAAACCATTTCCAACAAGATATGACCAAAAATTGAAATGTAAAAAGGGGTCACACCAGCCCAACTGTATTAAAAAAATTTCATTGATTTTCTAAAATGTTATATCTTTTATGAATATATTTTAGTTACAACATTTTAGAAAACCAATAAAATTTTTTTAACCCAGTTGACCTCGCCTGACCCAAAAACTTAAAAAAAATTAAGTTTCTATGAAAAAATGTTGTAGAGAAAAGTTGTTTGTATTTTTCTAATCGAAAGTAATATAAAATTAAAAATATTGAAATTTGAAAAAATTGAATTTTCAAAATTTTGAAACTACTGTAGTTTGTGTAGTTTTCGACGAAAATGGCTGGCTAACGAACTCGATCTGTATTTTAACAGTAACTTTGTGCATGCAAAGTTGCAAGTTGATGCAATAAGTTTTTCAAGAGTTATCGTAGGGACACCATTGTGTCTACAGACAGACACGAAGACAGACATACAGACAGACACTTTTTCTAGACCATGTTTAACAGACTCAGGGGACCCCAAAACGTCGAGATTTCAAGAAATTAGCGAAAGTCAATTTTCGACCAAAACTAATACTTTCTCATGTGATAATAATGTAAAAATGATTAAAAAAAAAAAATATATTCAAATAGTGCAATTGAAAATGAAAAATCATATTTCGAATTTTATATCGGTTAACCAGAACTCAAAAAAAATTTGTTTAATTTAGAAATACTAAAAAATTAAATTTTTAATAACTTCAAAAAAAATTTCTGAGTAATATGTAAAGCAATATTTCTAAACAATGTTGAGAGACAAAAAAAAATATTTTAATATGAAAATAAAATTTTTTAATTCTAGATAAACCGTTTGGCTAAATCTGGCCCAAAAACTTAAAAAATATACCTGGCCCAAGAACTTAAAAAAAAAAAAAAAAAATTCATAACTTTTTTGTTTTTTGTTGTACTGAAAAGTGTCTAAAGGAAAAGTTGTTTGTTTTTGCACCAAATTTAAGGAAAAAATTTAAAAAAAAATTTTTTTTTTGAAAATTGTAAAAAATACAAAATTTTGAAAATTTCAAAATTTTGTATTTTTGTTGTTTTTTGACGAAATGGGCTGCCCAACGAACTCAGGCTTCATTTTTATGGACTAAAAAAGTGTGCCAAATTGCAAGACGATTCATAAAAATTTATTCGAGTTATCGTGGCGACAAATTTTTCTACAGACAGACGACAGACAGACAGACAGACAGACGGACAGACACTTTTCTAAAAACCATTTTTTTGGAATCAGGGGGTCATGAAACGTAAAGATTTAGCAAAATTAGACATTGCTCAAAATCGCACAAATCCAAGACTTTCTCATTTTTGATGAGAATGTAAAAACAAATTTTATGGAAAAAATCAAAAAAAGGCAGAATTTTTGAAACTTTTGAGTTCTTTCTTGTTCCTAATTTTGTATTTTTACCTAAATTTGGCATCTAAAAGAAAAAAAGGAAGGTTTCGATATGTTTTTAATGTTTTCTCATGTTTCGGCTAATGCTTCACTCACTATAAATCTCAATTTTTTGCACTTTTTTGGAAAAAAATTTTTTTAATTTGTGTAAAAGATGCAATTGTCGATTCTAATGTTAAGAAAGGTGTATTAGCATAATGTGAACTAATTTTTATTAACACGGCCCCAATATGACAAATTTTCTACTGAAGAGAAGGCTGACAAAAAGTCCAAAAAAAGCAATAAATAGCAAATTTTTAAAAAATTAAAAAATTCATAACTTTTTTGTTTTTTGTTGTACTGAAAAGTGTCTAAAGGAAAAGTTGTTTGTTTTTGCACCAAATTTAAGGAAAAAATTAAAAAAAAATTTTTTTTTTTTGAAAATTGTAAAAAATACAAAATTTTGAAAATTTCAAAATTTTGTATTTTTGTTGTTTTTTGACGAAATGGGCTGCCCAACGAACTCAGGCTTCATTTTTATGGACTAAAAAAGTGTGCCAAATTGCAAGACGATTCATAAAAATTTATTCGAGTTATCGTGGCGACAAATTTTTCTACAGACAGACGACAGACAGACAGACAGACGGACAGACACTTTTCTAAAAACCATTTTTTTGGAATCAGGGGGTCATGAAACGTAAAGATTTAGCAAAATTAGACATTGCTCAAAATCGCACAAATCCAAGACTTTCTCATTTTTGATGAGAATGTAAAAAATTCAACTAATATCAAAAGAATTTGAGTTAAAGTTTTTTAAAAATCGTTGTTTTTTAAAATTATTAATTAAATTCATTAAAAATATAAATTTTCTAAAATTTAAAATTGAAACCCGTTAAAATTCAATTATTTTTGAAATTTTTCATTAAGTAATTTATAAGTAATAATTTACTGATAGTTCTTTAAGATTTAAACACAACAAAACATCTTTGATACAAAAAGTTCAGTCAAGTAAAAGTTTTTGTAATTGTCCAAACAATTAGTGAAATAAAAGTTTACCAAGTAAAATTTATATAATTAAAGTTTTAATATTGATTGATTATAATATAATTGAGTCAATATTTCACGTTATATTTTGAATTGTAACAAATATGAAAAACATCCAATTTCTTGGGGAAAAATTAAAATATTTCAAAAAATACGAAATGTATTGAAATTTCCTGAAACCCAATTACTTAATAATATCCTAGAATATTTTACAAATCCGTAGAGAAGTTTAAGCTCTACGTTTGTCTAAATGTCAAAAAGTCACTATTTTTTCCGTTTTCTTTGCTTCAATTTTACAAAAGTATCAAAAATATTGAATAAACTTAACAGAATTCTTTCGTTTATCATTCTTTATCCAACAAAAAAAAATTGAGCAAAATCGGTTAAAATTTACTCGACTTATTCGATTTTATCTATAAACAGTCGATATTTTGAGAATATATATTCGCGGTTTTTACTTTTTACTTGGCGGCGATTCTCTACCGCGAATCTTGATAATTTAAAATACACTATTTGAAAAAATAGAAATATTTATTGTTTTGTACTTAAATTCTTGTTAATTTAATTCAAAGTTTTAAGGTAAACAATAAAGTCACCAAAATTCAGAATTTTGTTATGAATTCCATAAAAATGTAATTTTTTCCAGTACTTTTAATAAAATTCTGACTTTCCTTATTTTCCTGATAAATTCTACTTTCCCTGATTTTTATCTAATTTCCCTATGGCAATCCTGTATAAACCATCGTGATAACCAAATCTAATCATGTTTTAAACATTTTTTTAAATTCCAAGTTGAAAATTACATTTCCCTACCAAATTTGATTACAATTGGTAGAATTAGTCTTTCTTCTAGAGCAAGAAATGTAATTTTGACAAAAAGAGATTATCGTTAAACTCGTCAGTAGTCGCACTTTTTTTAAAAATTATATTATTATTATTATATTAATAATTACCATTAACATCATCCGTATTGTCAAGAACAGCTCCACTATATGCGAGATCCCAATAATGTTCCACTTGGTGTTTCTTAAAATGTTCTCGAGCCATTTTTTCAATTGGACACACTTTAAATTTCACGTCATTGAAGTGTCGATTTTTGCTTGTACCTTCCCAAACGAGAACACACTTGTTTGGAACATCATTACCGTCAGTGTCTTTCACAATATCTTCTTCCCACTTGATTCGATGTAACATTAGTCGTTTATATTTACTCAGTTGTTTTGCTCCACCTTCAACAACCACAACATTACAGTCTCTAAAAAGCATTACACAACCAGTCAAGTAGAGTTGCTTTGCATTCGTCTCCACTTTGAATTTTTTTGATGCATTATTTACTAAATCTCTTATTCTGAAACAGACAATAATTATACTTTTATTTTACAGCTAATTGTGGCAATTTTCAGATTTAATCGATTAATTTCTAAATATACTGGAATACTCGAATTTCATTTGATTAAATTTACATTTGATTGAAATTGAAAATAATTGAAATGAAAATTTAAAATTTATTACAATTTTAATGATTATTTTTTTACCAAAACAATTTGGATAAGTTGAATAAATTAGTATTTCATGCCTCGGATCGAGTTTAAAGCGCAAAAAAAGTCGCTTTAGTAGATTAAAAATAGAAAAAAGTCGAAAAAATTGTTTATTTCATTCAGTGTTGTCACAAAATTTTTATTTTGTATTTCCCTGGCATTTCCAGGGTGGCCGCAAGATTGACTTTATCAATTTCCCTGACATTTCTCTGACATTTTACTGACATAACAACGAATTTCCCTGACAAAAATTTTTTTGTTTAGAGCAAAAAATGTATTGCATGACCGTCTTAGTTTCTTTAATTGTCCTGACAAAAAAATTTTTCCTGACATTTCCCTGACTTTACTGACAAAAAATTTTTTTCCTGACATTTCCCTGACTTTACTGACAAAATATTTTTTTCCCTGACATTTCCCTGACTTTACTGACTTTACTGACATGTGGCCACCCTGATTTCACTGATTTTCAAATTCAATTATTCAAAATTTCAATAATTTTGTTAAATATACATTTAAAGTTAAACACTTATTTGTTTTTGTAAGGAAAATAAAATTTGATTAAAATCTCGGACATTAAAGATTAACTGCCTGATAAAACTTTCAATTTAAAAACTTCAGCGTTTAGATAATTTCTAAAAATATAACCCTTCCATAATTCAATTACTTTCTAAAATTTTAAACTAAACTTTTTCTCTAAATCAATTATCTTCTATATTAATAATCGTTGTATTCCGGTAATCTGTTCGCAGTTAAAAGTTAGATATGTATTTGCTTTTTTGTTTTCTAACTTTTTTAAAATAATTTTTCTTTTAAAATATTTTGAATTTTAAAATTAATGTATTGAAAATCATTGAATTCTTGCAAAGAATTTTGTCAAAAAATTTGAGAATAATTGAATTCCTTCGAAGAATTTTATTTTATATGAAAATAATTGAATTCTTGTGAAGAATTTCTTAAAATTTTTTTAAAACACTAGAGTTTCTTTAATATTTTTATTTGAAAAATTTGAAAGTGATTCAATTTTATGTACAATTTTGCTGTTGTTGTAATATAATCGTGTTTCTTAATAATTGAAATTGAACATTTAATTACTGAATTTTATTAAAAATTATTGATATAGAATTAAACTCTTTTAAACAATTTTATTGGAGTTTTTGTAAATAATTAAATTCTTTTGAAGAATTTCTTTCTTTTTAAACAATGTAGTTTTTTTGATTAATTTCAATTGGAAATTTTGAAAATAATTAAATTGAATTGTTTCGAAGAATTTATTACAGTTTCAGAAAATAATTGAAATCTTTAAAAAAAATGTATAACGAAATAAGAAAAAAAATTTAATTCTTTCGTGAAATTTTATTGAAAATAATTGAATTTTTGCAAAGATTTTACTATTCTAAAGAATAATTGAATTGTTTTAATGGATTTATTAAAATTTTAGATAATAATTGAATTCTTTCGTGAAATTGTATCAAAATTTTGTTGAAAATAATTGAATTTTTGCAAAAAAATTTACTATTTATAAAAATTATTCTTCTGTAGAATATTATAATTTATGAAAATAATTGAATTCTTGCGAAGAATTATATTAAAATTTATTAAAATATTAAAAATATCAAAATTTTGAACATTATTGTTTTCTTCAAAATGAGATATATTTCTAAAAAATTCTAATGTGGTTTTTTGTTTATTTGAATTTTCGGTAATTGAAAATATTGAAAATTAATAACTGAATAAAAAATTCAAATGAAAATTCTCAGAAAGACTTTTTTAAAAAAATACTTTAATATAATTTTTAGAAGCTAATTTGCATTAATTTAAATTTTTAAATTTACACTTAAAGATTTTTCATTAAAATTTTTGAGAATTCAATTCTTTCAAAAATTTGCAATTAAAATTCTTCAATAATTGATTTTCAAACATTGTAATAAAATACTTGAAAAAAATAAATTATTTACAATTAAATGCTACAAAATTTCAATTATTCATAATTTTTTAATTATAGTTATATTTTAAAAATTTAATTATAGTAATTACCTATAAACTGCGACATTAACGCCAAGCGAAGTGTCCTCTTTAAGTTTCCTCGCTTTTTTCTCTCGACGTTGTTCGACTGTTAATCTGCGAGCAGCGTTCGCGTCCTCGTGGGCTTTCAATCTCTTCGCCATTTGTTGCCTAACATGTTGTTCAATTTTCGTCGGATCTTGAACTGCTTCCGTACCCAAAACCCTCATAAGATTCGAAATTCGTAATTTCGGTTCTGGAGGTGGTTCCAGTCCCAAACGAATTTTCTCCTGCTCCTCCTTCCACGCCTCTCGTCGATTTTGCCTACGAAGCTTTTTTCTCTCCTTCTTCGTGAGAAACACAGGCATGTACACTGGTTTAAGAGGGTCCGCTGAAGAATACAAAAAAACTCTTAATTTTGTATTCAAAAGTTTCCTAACTACTCTTTAGTTTTTAGAATGTAATTCATATAATTTAGAAAATCAGGGTTGCCACAAATATTTAATTTTATTTTTCCCTGACTTTTCTTTGATTTCCAGACAAAATTTTCACTTTTTCCCTGACCATAAAGAATATTCTGATTCACTCTAAAAATTATTAGATACTCAAAAAAACATTCTATTACATTTACTTACGAATTTTTTTAATTGTCAAATTATTCCAAAACAACAATAAATTCTTTTTTAAATATATATTTAATCATTATTATTATTCCATAGGAATTAAGATTTTTCAAAACATTCAAATTCAAACATTTTTAAAAGTCAACAACTTATAAGAATATTATTATAAAACATGAAGATAGTAATTACTCCGAGTCGAAAGTCTTCGACTCGGAGTGATTCATATCTTCATGTTTTATAAAAATTTTAATTTCCATAAAATTTTTCAAAAAAAAATTAAATTATTTACAAAAATTAAAATAAAATTCTAAGCAAGAATTCAATTATTTTCATAAATAATAAAATTCTTCACATGGTTTAAATTATTTTTAATACAATTTTAGATAAATTTCTCGAAAAATAAAATTATTTTCAAAACATTTTTGCAAGAATTAAATTAGGTACATTTTACAAATAATGAAATTCTTCGCTGAAATTCAAAAATTTTCAAAATTTACATTTTAAATACAAGTTATCAAAAGAATATAATTATTTAAATAAAATGTAAGAAAATTCGTTGCATAAATTCAATTATTTTTACAAGTAATAAAATTTGCCACATGAATTCAATTACATTTCACGAATATAATGAAATTTTTCATTGAAATTCAAATATTTTCACAATATACTTTTTAAATAAAAGTTCTCAAAAGAATTCAATTATTTAAAAAAAAAATTGAAAAAATTAATCGCAAGAATTCAATTATTTTCATAAATTAATAAAAATTCTTCACAGGATTTCAATTATCTTTAATACAATTTTAAGTAAATTCTTCCAATGCTTTTAATATTCAATTATTATCTAAAATTTTAACTAATATTCATTTTCAAATCAATTTTTATTGGAAAATTCTACAAGAATTCAATTATTTAAATACAAAAATAAATAATCTATTAAAGAAATGAATGTTTTTCGAAACTAAATTATCATAATATAAAGAATTTTATCAACAAACTTGAATTTTTCGAGGAATTCAATTAAAATTGTATTAAAAATAATTGAAATTCTGTGATGAATTTTATTATTCATGAAAATAATTGAATTTTTGTAAAAAATGTTATCATTTATGAAAATAATTGAATTATTGCAAAATTTGCTTAGAATTTTATCAAAAATTTTTTTTTAAGTAATTGAATTCTTTTGAAAAATTTTATTAAAACTGTAGATATTGAAAATCATTGACTTGAGAAAATTTTTTTGAAAATAATTGAAATTTTGCAAAGAATTTTATTAAAATTTTTGAAAATAATTGAATTAGTGCGAAGAATCTAATGGCAAATTTAAAAATAATTGATTGATTAAAATAATTTTTGAAAATAATTGAAATTTTGCAATGAATTTCATTAAAATTTTTGAAAATAATTGAATTACTGAGAAGAATTTAATGGCAAATTTTAAAACAATTGATTTTTGCGAATCAGTGTAGAATTTTTTAAAAACTTTTGTTTAATAATAAAATTCTTTCGGGAAAATTCATTAAAATAGTAGAATATTGAAAACCATCTCGAAATAAGAAATTTTTTTTTCCTCAAAATAATTGAACTTTGTCAAGGATTATTGTTATTTATTTCTAAAGATAATTAAATTGTTGACCACAATTTTTAAAATTTTTTGAAAATAATTGAATTTCTGCGGAAAATTCAATTCATTTTTAAAATAATTGAATTCTTATGGTGAATATTGTTATTTATGAAAATAATTGTATTTTGCAATGAATTTTATCAAAGTTCCTGAATATAATTAAATTTCGGCAAAGAATTTTTATATTTATAAAGATAATTGAAATATTGAAGAGAATTCAAGTTAAAACGTCAAGGAAATAAATCTCATTTTTAAGAATTTTTAATTTTTCAAGGTTTTGTCATAAAATTCAAGGTGTTTTCAAGGTTTTCAAGGAGCAAAAAAATCCAAGTACTTTTCAAGGTTTTTAAGGTTTTCAAGGCAGCTGGACACCCTGACAATTAAAATTGTATTAAAAATAATTGAAATTCTATGATGAATTTTATTATTCATGAAAATAATTGAATTTTTGTAAAAAATGTTATTATTCATGAAAATAATTGAATTACTGCAAAGTTTGCTTAGAATTTTATCAAAATTTTTTTTTAAATAATTGAATTCTTTTGAGAAATTTTATTAAAACTGTAGATATTGAAAATCATTGAATTGAGAAAAATTTTTTTAAATAATTGAATTTCTGCAATCATTTGTAACTTCTCCAAAATTCAATTTTTTCCAATTACTTAAATAAAAATCTCTGACTTTTCCCTGACTTCCTTGACCAATTTTACTTTCCCTGACTTTTCCCTGAATTCCCTGACTTGTGGCAACCCTGAAAATTGAATAATTAAACGAAAACAATCAAAGATTCTTTAATGTTACTCCAACGTTTCGACGTTTCCACTCTGACGTTAAAGACTGTATTATAATAGAAAATTGAATTTTTAAAACTTAACTGAAGTGTATAAAAAATAATACTAACTTGGTGGTCGTATTTGATATGGATGCTCAACTAGATTAGTAATGGTGGCAGTTTTAATAGACCCCGCAGTATCGTCTTCATTTGGATAACCTCCGTTCAAAATAACCGAATCCCACCATTCCAAATTAGGCACATCTTCATTTAAAGCCTCTGTCTTCGGTGCAATTAATGCCAATTTCGTTGCCGAACTAATTCCCGTTTTTCGCGCGATTTGACTGATTTCATTTTGCAATTTTTCGAGTTGTGCCTTCATACGAATTTTGTGAGCGAGTTGCTGAAATTTACCTGGATCATTGAATTTAAGTGCCCGTTTTAGACGTACATTTGTTTTCATGCCAATTCGTGGATCATAAAATCCCGTATCTTGTATTTCTTCTGGTTTCGATTCTTGTAATTGAGCTTTAAATTCTTCACGTTTTTTCGCACGAATATTTGCCTTCAATGTGGGTACAATCTGAGTAAGTTGAACTTCTTTTCCAGTGATGTCAACCGTTCTTCCCGACTCATCGAGAATTAGTGGTGTCGGTTTGTCTGGAATGCCAATATTAGGCAAAGCAAGGGCACTCAATTTATTTCCAATCTGAGCTTGCAGGGCAGCGATTTTTCGAGCTTTATCCGAATCGGTTTTACTCAATAAACCTTGATTGTACATGCTACCCATTGATTGAAATTGTTCTCGCGTTTTTAATGACTGTCTCACTGGTGGGAAATCATCTTTTCTTATGGACTTTAAAGCCCGTTTTCTTTCTTCTATTTCCCTCTGAGCATTTGCCATCATCTGCTTAATCTGAAAAGAAGATATATTTCATTTTCAATAAATTATGCAAAAAAGAATTTCAATATTATCAAAATCTATTTTAATAAAATTACCTAAAAGAATTCAATTATTTTCATAAAAATAATAATATTCTTTACAGAATCTGAATTTCAATTATTTAAACAAATGTAATAAAAATTCGCTACAAGAATTCAGTTATTCTCCTAAATAATAAAATTCTTTATAGAATTTCAATTATTTTTAATACAATTTGAAGTAAATTCTTCGAAAAATGTAACTATTTTCAAAAATCTTATTAAAATTCTTCAAAAGAATTAAATTATCAATTATTTTTAATTAATTTTTGAAAAAGTTCTTTGAGAATTTTCAAATCCATTTATTTACAATTCAATTTTAAGAACTTGAAATAATTTCAAACAAAAAATTCAATTAAACTTTTTCAAAATACAATTATTTCTAAAAATTCAGGCTATACTGCTTTTAATTAATATTTAATTGTTAACTAAAATTTTCACTAAAATTCATTTTTAAATCAATTTTTATTACAAAATTCTACGAGAATTCAATTATTTAAATATAAAAATAAATAATTTATTGAATAATGGAATGTTTCTTCAAATTTAATTCACATAAAGAATTTTATTAACAAATTTTTAAATTAATTAAAATTTTTCATAAATTTTTAAGTAATCGAATATTTTTTGAGAAATTTCAATACAATTTTTAAAAATAATTAAATTTTTCGAGGTATTCAATTAAAATTGTATTAAGAGTAATTGGAATTCTGTGATGAGTCTTATAAATAATTGAATTCCTAAAAAGAATTTTATTATTTATGAAAACAATTGAATTTCTGTAAAAAATTTTATAAATTAATAAAAATAATTGAATTATCGGGAAGAAATTTCTAAATGTAAATAATCGAATTCCTGTGATATTTTTAATATTTATGAAAATAATTAAATGTCTTCGTAGAATTTTATTTACAATTTTTTTAAATAATTGAGTTCTTTTCGAAAATTTTCTTAAACTATTAGATATTTAAAATCATTGAATTGAGGAAAATTTTTAAAAATAATGCCAAAAATTTATTTTTTTTTTTTTTTGAAAAATAATGAATTTCGGAGAAGAATTTTATTATTTGTAAAAATAATTTAAATTTTTACGATAATTTTTCAAATTTTTTGAACATAATTGAATTTCTGCGAAGAATTTTATTCCTTTTGAAAATAATTGGATTTCTGCAATCATTCATAATTTCTGAAAAATTCAATTTTTTAGTGTTTTTAACTAAAATTCTTCTATAAATCCATTATTTTTAGTAATTAATTAAATATATATTAAAAAATGTAACTAATTTCAAAAGAATTTGAATTATTAAAGTTTTTCAAAAATCTAAATTCTTTAAAATTTCTAATTAAATTCATTCAAAATTGAAATTTTATGAATTTTAAAATTGAAACCCTTGAAACCTTTTAAATGTTTGAACATAATCTAAAATTTTAACTGAAGTTCTTATTTAAATCAATTTAGGTATATCAGAAAATTTTAAAAGAATTAAATTATTTGAATACAAAAATAAATAACTTATTGAATAATTGAATGCTTTTAAAATTGAATTCTCATAAAGAATTTTATCAACCAATTTTTAAATAATTGAATTCTTTCGACGAATTTTAATAAAATTTTTAAGAATAATTGCATTTTTCGTGGAATTCGATTTAAATTGTACCTATTAAAGATAATTGAAAATCTACAATGAGTTTTATTATTTATGAAAATAATGGAATTATTGCGAAGAAATTTATAAAAAAATTTGTAAATAATTGAATTCTTATTATTTATGAAAATAATTAAATGCTTGCGTTGAATTTTATCAACATTTTCTTTAAATAATTGAATTCTTTTGGAAAATATTATGAAAACAGTAGATATTGAAAATCATTAAATTGAGGAAAATTTTTGAAAATAATTGAATTTCGGAAAAGAATTTATTTTTAATTTGACGAGAATTTTTTTGAAATTTTTTAATATAATTGAATTTTTGCGACGTATTTTACTACTTTTGAAAATAATTGAATTTTTGATATCATTTATAACTTCTCCAAAATTCAATTTTTTTAATAGTTTTGAACTAAAATTCTTCTATAAATCCATTATTTTTAATAAATAATTAAATATATATATTAAAAAATTTAACTATAATTTTAGAAGAATTTAAATTATTAAAATTTTTCAAAATTCTAAGTTCTTTAAAATTTCTAATTAAATTAATTGAAAATTGAAATTTTATTAAATTGCAAATTGAAACCTTTTGAAATTCATCTATTTATGAAAATTATAAAGGCAACTGTTAATTCAATTAATTTTGAAATATTAAACTAAATTCTTTATTAAATAATTTATAAATGTAATAATTTTATGATAGTTCTTGAAAAATTAAGTTACTTAAAAAGAAATTATTGTCAGAAATAGAAAAAATTGAAGGTTTTCTATTAGAATTCCTGGTAATTTTATAGTTTACAAGACAAACAAAAAAGGCACCAAAATTCAGAATTTTCTAATGAATTCTAAAAATTAAATTTTTTTCCAGTACTTTTAATAAAATTCCCTAATTTTTCCCTGATTTCCTTGACCAATTTGACTTTCCTAAACATTTCCCTGACTTCCCAAGCCTGTGGCAACTCTGATTAAGTAATAAAATTAAATAAAAATTATAAAGTTAAATGAAAATAAATATACCTTATCAGCGGATAGTTTCGCGTCACTTTTTTCATTTTTTCCTCCGTCGTCCTTAAATTTCGCCTTCTTCGAATCTTTATCTTTATCCTTGTCTTTATCATCCGAATGCGATCGTTTTTTACTTCTCTGTGAAGCCTTTGCGTCATCATAAATTACGAATATTTTTTCCGTCAATTTTAAGGCTTTCTTATCGTCCAACAATGCCGAGAGTTTGTCTGTAAGAGAATATTGATATAAAATAAGTGTTAATTCTTAAAAATATTCCCAGCTATAAATTCAAGACAATTGAAAAAAATCTTAATTACAGAGAATCATAATTAAGTATTAACAAATAATTTTAAACAGGACGAAAAATATTAAAATATTCTATAAATAATGTCTTTTAAAGGTTATGTATTATGATAAATATATCATAATAAATAAATTTCTGAAATTCAATTTCTAAAAATTGTTGTGCGTTTGAAATAAAATTAAGTTCGTAAATATTACTTATTATTTAAAAATATAAAATATACCTTTAGTTTTTGTTGAAAAGATTTATATGACATCACTGTTACTCTACATTCAAGCATCAGTAGTATTGGAGAGTAAACTATACACCCGTTTGTATTACAAAAAGTTAATTCTTTTTTTCTCAGAGGAAGAATTTTTAAATACGTGTAAATTATTTACTAACCTGCTGTTTTGCGTTTATCATACCCAGAAGTGATACAATTAACAGCAGTGGTGACAATCGAGGGCTCCCCAAAGCCGAGGAACTTGTGCACAGCTCGTTCAATTTGAGGTTTCATCTCGTCTATTTCTTTCCTGCTTAAATATGACATTATTACAAGTTTTTGATTTAATAACTCTTCACGATAAACTCTTTTTCAACACACCTAATTCACACACTCGAATTTCAAAACATGTGTAATATTTAGAAAGAAAGAAGATTAAAATTGACACGAACGAACGTTGCTGATCGTTTACTCAAAGAATTGAGGTTATGTTTCTCCAGCGTGAAGGTAGTCGAGATATTGAAATTCGATTCGTCCAATCCTGGTGCTGTTTGAAATTATCTGCAAGAATCAAATTTTTTGATTGGTGAAAATAGCCCGCGTAATTTTGAATTTTCTTTTTTAATTTTGTAAATAAATAAGTAAATTTGATTCTATTTGTTTTAAAATACTGGCAGTGGTGAATTTTTTTAAAATATATCATATAAATATATTTTTTAAAAAGAAATGTAATTACAAAGACTTTTTAAAATTTGAAGAATAAATTTGATTATGTATTGTTGGTAGAATTGAGCGAGTGGTAACAATGTTATCGCTGAGAAAATGCCTCATGTCAGAGTTTTGTTTCGTTTACCGGGGCGGTAAACGGGTAAAGTGGAAACATGGAGGACAGAAGAAGGTCTTTTTTAAGGTTATCTCATAAAAGTATAATAAAAAATGACTCTCTGCGAAGAAATTCAATGGATTTCTCCTATATTTCGAGAAAAAATAAAGAAAATAGTGAATATGATTTTGATACATCGCTCACAATGGCACCTCATGAGTTGCGTGATATTATGGCAAACTCCGAAAAAACTGATATCACTCTGAGGGAAATGATGGACGATGGTTCTGCAACAGGTATTATCTTGAAATCAAAGGAACCCTGGCGTGATATAAACTCCAATTTGTACTATGAATTTATGGAAAGTATACAATCACATTTATCCGAACCTGAAGTCTTTAATACCATAGCTGATTTTATTCAAAATTGCACTGATACTTTGGAATTAATGAGGGGTAAGTTTTATTATTTTCTTTTTTCAAGAATTTACATTTTTTATTTTTTTTATTATTTCAAAACTTATTCCAGATTAGGTTATTTTAAACTTTATTTTTAACTTATTTTCGATTAGGTATGCAGGCAAAAGTGGAGAGTAAAGAGCTGTCAAATGAAGAAGTAAATTTGGAAAATGAACGAAATACTTGGAGATTGATTTATTGTTTGTATCAGAATCGTCAGAATGCAAGTTTTCAAAAATCCATGGATATCGATATGAATTCGAATATTTCGGAGAAAGAATTGATTAATTCATTATACGATAGTGATAAACTTATAAGAGAGTATCAGCTAATCATCGACTGGCTGGAGAAAAATGCCCTCGATCAAGCAGATAAATTGCCTTCAATCGAACAATTCACGGACAAAACAGTCGCTTGGGAAAATACATTACATCAACTTCATAATCGACAATTTGGAATAATGTTTGCTTCATCGAGACCCATAGTGTCGTCTCTTGATCCTGACGCTCCAGTGAGGGAGGGAAAGCCTCTTCACGATTTAGACAGAGAAGATGACGAGAGACTCGAAAGAAGAATGTTTATTGAGGTAATTATTCTTTTTATAGTTTATTTTTATATCAGAAATCATTTAAAGAAAAATTGCAAGAGAATCTAATGCGAGGAAATAAATATAATTGATCGGAATCCTGGTAAATTGTTGTTTTCTAAAGTTATTGTGTTTATTATTGAAATTTAATTATCGAAAGCAAAAAGCTCATAAACTATGAAATTACCACGAATTCTAATACAGATCATTCAATTTTTTCTATTTCTGAAAATAATTTCTTTTTAAATATCTTAATTCTTGAAGAACTATATCATAAAAATATTAGAAATTATTTAATCAATAATTTTACTTACATATTTCAAAATTAATTGAATTTTAAGAGTTACATTTACAATTTTCATAAATTCAAAAGGTTTCAATTTAAAGTTTTAGAAAATTTCAATTTTGAATGAATTTCATTAGAAATTTTAAAGAACTTCGATTTTTGAAAAAAAATTAATAATTCAAATTCTGAAATTATTTTAATTTTTTAATACATATTTAATTAATTATTAAAAATAATAGATTTTTAGAAGAATTTTAGTTTAAAATACCAGAAAAAAATGAATTTTGTAGAAGTTACAAATGATTGCATAAATTTAATTATTTTCAAAAATTTTAATAAAATTCTTGACAAAATTTCAATTATTTTCAAAAATTTTTCTCAATTCAATGATTTTTAATATCTACTATTTTAATAAAATTTTCGAAAAGAATTTAATTATTTAAAAATTAGTTGATTAAATTCTTTATGAGAATTCAATTTTAAAAAACATTCAATTTATTATTCAATAAATTATTTATTTTTGTATTCAAATAATTGAATTCTCTCAGAATTTTCTCTAATAAAAATTGATTTAAATATGAATTTCAGTTAAAAGTTTAGATTATGTTCAAAATTTAAAAAAAAATTTCGTCAAAATTTCAATTACTTTTATAAATAATAAAATTCTTCTCCGAAAATCAATTATTTTCAAATATTCTCATCAATTTAATGGTTTCGAATCTCTACTATTTTATTAAATTTTTCCAAAAGACGTCAATTATTTAAAAAAAAATGTTGATAATTATGTCTACTTAAACATTTAATTACTTTCATAAATACTAAAAATTTCACAAAAATTCAATTATTTACAAATTTCTTATAAATTTCTTCGTAATAATTGAATTATTTTCATAAATAATAAAATTTTCTACAGGAATTCAATTATTTTTAGTACAATTTTAATCGAATTCCACGAAAAATGTGATTATTCTTTAAAAGATTTATTAAAATTCGTTGAAAGAATTACATTATTATTTAAAAATTTATTGATAAAATTCTTTATTAAAATTCAATTTTAAGAAACATTCAATTATTCAATAAATTATTTATTTTTATATTTAAATAAATTGAATTCTTGAAGAATTTTCTAATAAAATTGTTTTAAAAATTAATTTCAGTTAAAATTTTTGTTAAAAATTGAATATTAAAAGCATTATTCCTAGCTTGAATTTATAGAAATAATTGAAAAGCCGTTTTAAGTTTTGCTTTTAGAAGAATTAAGTGATTTTAATTTTTATATAGTGAATTATTTTAAATCATTTTTTGTTTACTTTTCATTTCCAAAACTCTTTTTTAAAAAAAAAATTATTTAACCTTTCTTTTTTAAAAAATAAACCTAAATTGTCTTATTTTTTTAAAACCTTATTTGTAAACTTATTTTTTACAGAAACTACATATTTTTTTATCTTATCATTTTTATTGGAAAGCTTTTTTCCATTAAATTATGTATAGTTAAAAATGAGACGCAATGAGTTTTCAATAAAATAAACGAAAAGTATTTAAAAAGTTGATTTTTTTTTATTTTCTTGAAAACCCATTGTTGTCCCATTTTTAAAATTTACATAATTTATTGGAAAAAATCTCAGCTTATTCCAATGAAAATGATAAAAATAAAAAAAAGTTATTTTTTGTGACAATTGAAAAATAAAGTTTATTTTTGAAAAAAGAGGAGTTCAAAATTTTTTTTTTGAAAAAAGAGTTTTTGGATTGAAAAGTAAACAAAATATGCTTTAAAATTTAATATCAAAAAATTGAAATTTGTCAAGTTCTGTCGAAATTAGATTTGAAATTAATAATTTCGCTGAAAACAGCACAACTGCAACCCCCATAATTTACACAAATAATTATTATAAGAGTTAATATTTTAGGATTTTATTACTTTCATACATAACAAAATTTTACCGGAGTTATAAGACATTCCCAGAAAATTAAAATGTTTATGCAACTCAGGCTTATTTTGGTGACTTTATCTGTCTGTACAGTTGCATACTAAGTTCCCCCTTATAACCCAAAGGTCAATAAAAAGTCCATTATTGCCTTAGGGCAATAATGGATTTGTTGATGTTCAAAACAATTTTTTTATACTAAAATTTTCAAGTTTTAAGCAATGTAAGACAAAAAATAATAATAATAATAATAATTTTTTATGTAATGATTTTATTTATAAGGATTAAAATTATAGGATACTTTTTGAATAAGTAGAAGTTAAATCGAAATTTTTCGCCTTATGAATCAGTGAAGTAATAATTTTATTTAGATTCGTTGCGGAAGACTGCAAAGGGCACAAGCTCTGGCCATACACTGTGGTCAGCCTTGGAGAGCTGCTTGTTTATTGGGTTGGACACCGTATCATGACCCAAACTACACAAATCCTCTAAATGACACAAAGTTGCCCGTGGAGGGAAATCCGAACAGAGGTCTTTGGAAGCGTTGTGCTTGGGAACTTTCTGAAGATAAGCGAGTTGGTTAGTAAAACACTTTTTTTGACCTTCCTTTTCAGATTTGAGTTTAAAAAAACTGTTTTCTTCAACAAAAAATGTCTATTACTTCCAGGGCGATTTTATCGAGCTTTGTATGCAAGTCTTTGCGGGAATGTGCAGCAATTACTGCCGATGGCAATATCGTGGCAGGATGCATTGTGGTCACACATGAAGGGCCTGCTAGACATCAAGGTAGAACGCGAAGTAACAGGCACAATGCCCAAAAGTTATACAACAATGCCAGACGATTATTGGAAAGGTGAAGTAAGTCTCGAAGATATTTTCACCGAACTTCGCGCCTCGAAAGATCAAAAAGTACGCACCGAAGCATCAAAACCCGATCATCTCATTCAAAAGTACCTTATTCTCGATCAAATCCCCCAATTAATGGAAGAAATCGAAACAATGATACACCTTGGTGTGTGCGACTCGCAGTTACTTCGATTCCTGGCCCATTTAGTATTATTCCTACGACGAATTGGAAAATGTTCGAATGATAAAATAGCAAATAAAGTCCTACTAGCGTACGTGCGAGTTCTTATTGACATTGGCGATCCAATTCTCGTGGCTTATTATGCCGCAACATTGCCACAAGAAGATCAAGTGACAAATTACGCACATTTCCTGGAAGACGTGAAGCAGTACGAGCAGAGGAAAAAGTGTCTCGTCGCCGCTGAAGAGGCAAATTTGAACGTTGAGGCAATCACAAAATTAGTCGTTGAAAATATTCGTGTAAAAAATGTCGAATTAGAATCTCTCGATTTAAAGGGCGAAATCACCGCTGCCGATTTAGAAAAAATTGATGCACTCGACTGGGTGCTTTTCTATCCAAATCAGAGAGAAGAAGCTTTATGGCAGAGCAATGCACTGATGCGATGTTTTCTTTCCAGTGAAAAAATTGACGCCGCAAGAAAAACTTTTAACAAGGTTTGTCCAATTTCATTTCTTAACAGTAAATCATAATAATAAAGATAAAGATTCATAGTAATAAAAATTATGATATATATAATTTTATAATAATAAAGATTTAAATATTAAAAAATTTACTCTCTTTTAGATTCCAAACGATACAATCGAGGTTTTAATGTCAGGCTATCCAAACTTGGGTGATACGATTGCAAACCTAACAATGACTAATTCTCTTCCGAAAAAACCATCCTCCTCAATACGTGAATACATGTGTTATAAAGCATATCTCGACGCTCAAGAAGGCTTTTCGGAATGGTTTTCTCACTATCACCATGGAAAACCAATTCCGTTAGAGGACTTGCCAACCTATGCTACTTTCACGGAAAAAGTGGCGCACGATCACAAAAAAGCTCAGTACAACTCTGAATTGGAACGCTGGAAGAGCACAATGGCTCATCAAACCAAAGTATGTTTTACAAAATAGTTTCTTTTTTAAGGGGAGGGTACACCGATATTTTTAACTATTTATTTATTCATTAACTATATCAAGAATATAATTTAAATATTCCATAATAATATTTTTAAGGTAATTTTTTGTGAGGAATTCAATGGTCATAAAATAAGAAGGGAAGTACAATATTTTGACCCTTTTTGAATATTTACTTTTCTTAAAAACTGGTAGATTTTTTAAATCCATGCGTAATTTTGTAAAAAAAATGTGTTTTTGAATCCACAAAAAATTTTCAAACTCCAAAAATTTATTTTTTTAACTTTTAAAGCATTTTGTTTTAAATTTTATTTTTAGGCTAAAAATACTAAAAATACCATTATTATTTAATTTTTTTTACTTGAAAATTCAGTTTGTTTTTGTTTGATTATTTTATTTATTTTTCTAACTAACTTCAGATCATAATTTTTTAATATATATGATCTGAAATTAGCAAGAAAAATAAATTTTTAAATAAAAAAATTGAATAACAATTGTATTTATTAGTATTTTCAACCCAAAAATGAAGCTCTATTTTAAAAAATGCTTCAAAGTTACATTCTGTTAAAAATAATTAAATTCTTTTAAAGAATTTTATTTAAATTTTTCGAAATGAATCAAGGAAAGTTAGTGACCATAATTTTAATTTTATTTTTAAAATATAAAGTCTCTCTTAAAGTTTTAAATCAATTTTTGCTTTTAAAAATAATAATTTTTTAATTTCTCTTAAATTTTTATAATTTTAAATTTCTGAATATTCAAAATAAATGATTTATTTATTTCTTGAGCAAATTAAATTTTTATTACTTATAATAATTAATTATTAGGTACTGCTTATTATTTTCAAAAATTTTAATAAAATTCTTATCAAGAATTGAATTATTTTCATAAATAATAATATTTTGAAGGATTCAATTACTTTTATAAATAGTAAAATTCTTTGCAGAAACTCAATTATTATCAATAAAATTTTAATAAAATTTTCAATTATAATTATAAACTGTAGATTATTTTAAAAAATTAAAAAAATTCTTTGTTTAATTAAATTATTTTTCAAATTTTCAATTAAAATTATTAAAAAAAACATTATTTTCAAAAAAATTTAAAGAAACTCGACAAAAGAATTTAATTATTCATAAAACTCTAATAAAAATTTTTGAAGCTATTTATATCTGATATTGATATAAAAATTACTATATAAAAACAATTTGATGTCATAAAATGAAATTAAATTATTTTCTTGATATTTAATTAAAATTATCGGTGTATCCTCCCCTGTACGAGAATTAAATTAATTAATTGTAATTTACTGTAATAATATTGTTTTGATAGTGTATTATTTATTAACTCTTATTTATTTCCTTTTTTCCCTAGGAAGTGAAACAATTACTCTTCAATGTCCTTCTGTTTCCTGATGGCGGTTGGTTAGTCGATGCTCACAATAATGAGAACGATCCTCTAAGTCCAGAGGAAATTTTACGAGAACATCAAATGGAGAAATTAAGAAAATTGTGCATTCCAAAAATTGCTCTTTTACTACACACTGTTATGTCTGAAATGAATGAACACTTTGAGTGTGTTCAATTGGCAGACGTTCTTGCTTCCGAACAATATCATCTGTATAACGTAAGTCAATTTTATATCAATTCAAACTTGTTTTACTGCATTTTTTCTATTTTTAAACATAGACAAAAAAGAAAATGAAACATATTTTAAGCATTTACTATTTTTAATTTATCAGGAGTTCCGGTCAAATAAAAAATGACTTAATTGAGGCTTCGGTACTTAAAAAGAAACTTTGCAGAATTTACTATCAATACTGCGTATTTCCTTCTAAGATTCGTTGCCTCAATTCTAGTTTCAATCGGTTTTAATTTAACTAACAAAAGTCGCAGTAAATATTGAAAATTAAATCTATCATAATTAAAATTATTCCAATTTTAACTAACATTCAATTCCGATAATCCAAAATTCAATTTATTCAAACTTTAATTCATCCTAATTTTTAGTTTGCCTAAATTTTAATCTAATGTTATTGATTTAAATTTCATTCAATAATAAATTTCATTTTTTAGTAAAAAAAATCATAATTTTCATTCGGAAAACCATATGTTAATTAAAATGTTTGTAGAATTCAAAACATAATTTTTCGTAATAAACAAAGTTGCCAAAGAAAAGTGAAATTAGGAAAAAGTCAAGGAAAGTAAAATTAGTCAGGAAATTCTATTAAAAGTACTGGAATAAATTAAATTTCTAGAATTCATAAAAAAATTCTGAATTTTGGTATCCAGCGACCTTTAAAATATTAAGTATTGAAATATTAAATTTTTCTTAAATTTCCTTTTGATGGCTTGCTAATTTTGAAATCACCACGAATTTTAATTCAAAACCTTAACCTTAATATGAAATTGAATTTATTTTAAATTATTTAATTATTTAAGAACAGTTCTTAAATAATTAATAATTAAATAATTTTTCTTAAAAAGTCCAAAAATAATTGAATTTTAGAAGAGTTGCTATTACAATTTTAATACCAAGTAATTGAATTACCTAGTTTTTTAAAAAAATTTTTATTAAAATTTTTTTGAAATTAATTAAATTATAAAAATGTGTCTTTAATTTTAAAAAATCTCAAATAATCGAATTTTCGTAAAATTTAATTGAAAACAAATGAATTTTAGACGTATTTAAGTAAACTTTCTTTTTTATGTAAATAATAATTGAATAATTGAATTCTCAAAGAACTTTCTGAAAATTATTGATTTAGAGAAGAATTTTAGTTAAAAGTTCGAGTAAATAATTGAATGTTAGAAGAGTTATAGTATAGTAGGAATTCATAGAAATAATCCAAAAAGATTTTCAATTGAAACTTTTGAAAAATTGAATTTTGAATAGTTTTAATAAAAAATTCAGAAGATTTTATTTTTTTGAAAAATTTTATGTAGAAAATTTTTGAATATTTGAAATTTCGTAAGATTGAGTTGTAGACAAGTGGATTTCTGAAAAATTTTAGATGAACATTCTTTTTCTTTGAATAAATGAATTTTTAAAGAACTATCTCAAAAATTATTAAAAAATAATTGATTCAGAGAATAATTTTAGTTGGAAAATCTAGAAAATGATTGAAGTGAAGTCTTGAAATTAATTTTGAAGAAGTTACAGGAGCAATTTTGATAAACTATTGAATTTTAAATGGTTTGAAAGTGGAAATTTTTTAAAATCTTAATTCCTGTAGAAAAATGATACATATCTCAATAAATCTTAAGATAATTCAAATAATTTATATATAATAATAATAATAATAATAATAATAATAATAATAATAATTTATTTATTTTTATTCAGAAATGAATGTATTAAAAACATTTTTTTGTTTGTATAATCATTTTTAGAATATGAATGAGATTTTTTTAGGGTCAGGGAAAAAAATCAAAATTCTTTCTGAAAATCAGGGAAAAACAATGAATCAAATTTTTCTGGCAACTTTGATAAAATTGTTGAATGAAAATCAAAATTATGGAAAACTTATATTTTTTTCTTTGCATTCTTTGAAATTGAGAATATTCCATTTTGAAAAATTTAGAAAATATTTGCCACCATTTAACAATTTTTTCTATTTTTAGAATATTTCTCTAATTTTTAACAAACAATTTTCTAATTAATAGAATTGTTGTTTAATTAGATTTCTAAAAGGTTTATTTTTATGTCAAAAAAATAATTTGTTTTACTGGAAGCTTCATTTGTATAAAATACATTTTGACCAACTTTTACTAAGTAAATAAAGTGAATTTAATTATTTTCTTACTCCAGGTTTTTCCAAGAGAGAAACTCAGAGAAATCTTCAAAAAGATTTGCGAATCATCGGTTGCACTGATGGACCAAAAGAAAGACGCCTGGGGATATTCAAAATAGTATTTTGGACTTGAAATTTTCTTCATTATGTAAGTAAGACTATAAACAAAATGTACAATATCCAATGTAAAGTCTGAACAATTTTTTTTTTTATAAAACCAGTTTATTGTCAACCACAAGAAGTGAATATAAAATTTGATACAATGTTTAATAATGAATAATCATAATCATAATACCTTACAATACCTCATAATTGTTGAAAGGATTTCACTTTTATGAATCGCTGTTTTGCAGAGTGCGGACTAAAAAAAAAGATATTAGTCAAGTTTGAAAGTATGAAAAGATTATTCTGTATAGGACTAGCTTTGTGCATTAAGTTTTCTTTGACTAATTTATTATATATTTTTTCATTAAACTGAAATTTTGTAAAGGAATTTTCCATTCCTATTTTATACACTTAAATAAATTTTCTATCAATTCAAGATTCTTTTTTACATTTTACGTCTATGATTAAATAAAGTGAATTTTTATTTCATATAAATACCGATATTTTTTATATTACATACACTGAAAATGTGTACTTCATTTTTGTAATGGTCAATTTAACAGAAAAAGAAATAATCTTTTTGTAAATATGAAACAAACATGTTTTTTTAATTACTGTATAATCAACGTATTTTTTTTAACAATAATTGTAATTCGAAATAAAGCAATGCGTATCTTGATAAAAGCAGTCTTTAATTTCTGCAGATACAAATTATGTGCATTTTTATATAAATTATTCTTTTCAATGACTACTCAGAAAAAAGTGAATAGCTCGTAATGTTTATAAACTATATATATTAATATAATTCATAATAATCTAAATGTTCAACAAATTCGAATTAAATAATATTTGTTTTAGTAAAGTTATAAAGTGATGAATTAATTTGGCAAAATTAAAAAGGTTCAATATGATGTAAACTCAAATTAAGAATACATCCTTATGAAAAAAAATGTAATGCATTTTGAAAAATTTATTAATGCAGAGCTGTTAATTAGGACATACAGGCCTCGGATATTATGACTTTTTCGACATTTTTCGACTATTTTCAAATAATGCTACTTTTATCGACTTATATTAAAAAATTGACACTTTTTCGATTTTTCTACCAAATTTTGCGACAAAATACCATATTTTCAGTATAAAATGCAACTTATTTCGATTTTTATTAGTATAAAAAAATATAATAGACAAATCTTTGAAAAGTTATTTTTGAATAATTTTTCTAATTAAAATTTTGAATTATACAATTAAAATGATTTTGAATAATTGAAATTTTGTAAAATTCAATTGAAAATAAATCATTTTTTCAAGTATTTTATTACAATTTTTGAAAATTAACTTTTAAAGAATTATAATTGAAAATTTTGTATATATATAATTGAATTCTCAAAAATTTTAATGAATAATCTTCAAGTGTAAATTCAATAAAAATGAAAACTATAAATGAAAATTAGATTCTTAAAACAATATTAAAATATTTTTGAAAAAAGTAATTCTCTAAATTATTTCGTTCTAATTTTTTAAAATTCAATTATTTTCAATATTTTCGATATTCAATATTTTTAATATTTCCGAAAATTCAAATACGAACACAAAATAATAACATTAATATTTTTTAGAATTATTTTTAACATTTTGGAGAAAATAATCATATTCAAAATTTTTAATTATAATTCTTCAAAAAATTAGTTTTTTTTTAAATTTTACAAAAATTCTTCAATTATTTTCGACAAATTACATTACAATATTTATGAAAAACTAACTCTTCGAATTGTTTTATCATAATTTTTTAAGATTCAATTACCTTCTAACAAAGTAAATTAAAATTTTAAAAAATTTACTATTTTAGAATTTTTGAGAAATTATTTATAATTTTATAAGAATTAAAATTCTTCAAAAATTTGATTATTTTTTTTATATTTTTTAAAAACTCAATTATTTTTAAAAGATTTGATCAAATTTCAAATATTTTTCAAAGATTTTACTAAATTTAAATTATTTTTTAAAAGATTTTACCAAATTTCAATTTTTTTTCTATTTTTAATCGACTAAAGCGACTTTTTTTGTTCGTTAAAGTCGACCCGAAGCCTGTAAATAATAGTTTACTTCATTTATTGGAAGTTTGTTTATAACTTTGCTTGTTGATAATTTTTTTTGATAATTCTTTTTTAAAATATTAAAATCATTAAAAATATAAATATTTATTAATAAAAATTCTCCTTTTGCTAATTTTTTGAAATAAATTATTTTCTATACAATTCAATAAACAATTGTATAAAATTTTTCAGTAAATAATGGTGAGCAAAATATAATTATATATTTTCTCTGATTTAAATAAAAATAATTTATTGAAACAATGTTTATGAAGATAATTATTTTTCAAAATTGCGTTGATGAATCTTTCAAAATATATTTATAAAATTTTATATTGTTTTCTTCTGTTGTAAAAAAAGTGTGTAATTCTTTTGGTATTGAATGTTTCAAAAAGAAAAAATTTTACCATAATATTGTTGAAAAAAGGTTTAAAATCTTAAAAAACAGTTAGAATTTAAAATAATAAATAACTGTTTTTCAAAATACTAATAAGACTGACTCTTGAATAACATCAATATTACTTATTTTAAAAAAATTATTCACTAATAAAAATTATATTTTCATTACGAAAACCGTATCATTTTCAATACAATAGTTTTCAAGAAAAAAATAAATTTCCTTTAATTATTCACAATTGCGACAACATTAAATTTACTGAATCTTTTTTTTTTTCTTGATCAGTTCTTGATCAATTTAACAATTTTATGTTTTTATCGTTTATTCTCTATAAAAACAGAAAAAAAATTTTATACTTTTCTCTCCTGACAATTTATAATAATTAAAAGAAGCTAAAAATTTCCAGGACATTTGTTTTCAAATACACTGGACACCACCTCTCGAGCGGTTTTCCAGTGTAAACTCTAAATATTATTTTCCCAAAAAATTTGTCTTCGTAAAATTATTTACATTGCATAAAACGTTGTCAACTCATTCTAAAACTAAGTTTGTCTTTTGCCTATTTCTACAATTTTTTTACGAAACGTAATTTGAGAAAGAGCTAATTATTAATTAAGAAGTTTTTTTGTGGCATTTTTTTTTTTGTTTTTGTTTTTTAAAGGCCAGAAATATAAAAAATACATTTTCAAACCCTGTAAGACACATAATTAACATGAAACTTTGTGTAAACGTTAATGCAATATTTCTACTACAATTTTCCAAAAACATTCGCTAAACTATAAATCGATTAGTCTCGTGACTAACGATTGTTTACCGCAATTTTTCTTTTCTTGGAACAAAAAATTTTTTCCAATTATTGACAAAATGGTGAAATGTTATATTATCTATAATGACGGGGGGAAATTAAATTTTTTTTTTTGACAGTTACAATATTTTGCCTTGTACTTGATAAGGTAAACATCTATTGAGAGAAAATTACTGCTGAATAAGTGTATTTAAATCGTATACGATTTTCATATTGTAAGGAATTAATGGTAATTGTTAGTCCAGTAACTATTCGGCAAGCATTCTCCGTTTTCACTCTCAAAACATTCTTTCTATTCAGTATATAATCAATTAAAACATCTTTCTCTCTCTTCTTTTCTCATTCTTTTTACTCGAAACAGGAGATACGAGGGAATTGAAAGATGATTTTAAAAATGCTTTACAACTGGCTAATTTTTAATTACTTGTGAATTTGCCTAGCCTAACACACAAACTTTGAAAAAAATGGTTGACAATCTTTTTAATAACGTTTATCATGTTAAGAGGGCAGAGGGTGGGGGGAAGAAGATATAATTTCTTGAGACAAGATTCTGATACATTTTTTTTTTTTTATAAACATATTTTTTTTCGTGGATCAAAGACAACATTTTGCTAATATTCTAACAGTCACAGGGGTCATCATAGAAGAAAGAACTGTTTTGGTAAATTTTAATGTGCTTTTCAAAAACAGTGATAGTTTTTTTTTCTCTTTATATTCTAGAATCTTTCACTTCGTATTTATTATGCAGGACCTTCGTATGTTTATTGACAAAGTTCTGGTTTATTTTCGAAATTCGTAAGACTTTAGAGTAGCTACAATTAAATGCCACAATTATCTCTCATTCATTTTTACCGAGACTTTTATTTTTATTATTATTATTATTTTCATTATTATTATTATTATCATTATTATTATTATTATTATTATTATTATTATCATTATTATTATTATCAATATTATTATTATTATCATTATTATTATTATTATCATTATTATTATTATTACTATTATTGTTATTGTTATTATTTTTCATTATTATTATTAATACTTATTATTTATTATCTATATGTATTTTATACAATTTATGTTATTAGAATGAAAATATTTCTAATATCCACAAAATTCCAGTGTAAAAAAAAAATGTTCAGAATATTTTTTAAATAAATATGATAATTATTAGTTATTATATTTTAAAAATGTATTTTTAATTTTCTTTAATAATCCCAAAAAATCAAAGACGAAATTCATCAATTTTTTAAGGGTTTTTGAAAAGTAAACGTAAAATCGTTAAAGCAATTGAATTATTAAAAGAAATTATAAAATTCTAACAATCTTATTATAAATATATACAATTTACTAATCTCAATTTTATCAATTCTTTTGAATGAATAAGGAAATCAATTATTTAAATTCTGATGAATATTTTACATAAATAAATTTTTTTGCGGCTTATTTGTAATATACACGAAAGAAAAATGTCTTGGGAATTTTATTATTATAAATAACTGTCTCTTTAAACAATTCACTCCTCTGGACACAATATTTTTGGGCTGCTCCGCGAAAACGATCAGCTTATTTCGATTTAATTCTAAAGATATGGTTTTTTACATTTAATAATTATTAATAATTGCAAAAATACAAGGGAATTGAGTCCATTGATGATAATATGTTTATGTATCGAATGGATATGTATTCACATAAACTTTATTATTATTTCTAGATCTACTCTTCCGGAGCAGCTCACACACTCAAAACACTGCTGTTAATTCGACGAATTATGTTATTATTGTCATTTATAATTAATTTTTTAATCAATTTAATAAATCGTTTATTATAAATTTTCATTTTTTATCATTTTTATTTCTTTGTTCGTTTTGCTTTGAACTTTTCTAATTTTATACATAGTCACAATTAATTATTAATTGTACATTAATTTAATCTTTAATGATGATAATTAATTAACTAATTTAATGAAATAATTGATTACTTTAATAGAATAATTAATTCAACTATTAATAAATTAATAAAGTCAAATACGCTGCTCGTATTTGATCGTAAGAGAGATCTAACTTTGATAATTTTAATTTCGAGAAAAATATAAAAAACTGAAATTAAGTTATTTTTGATTCCAAAGAGGAAAAAACTGTTCTATAAAGTGTTTCTTTAATATTTTCTTTATTAAAAAAAATTTTTTTTTAAATGGAAAAAGTCTTTTATGAAATATAGTTTTTCTAAAAACTATTTAATTTTCATTTTATCACTTTGAAAAATTTACTGTCTTTAGTATTTTCGCTATTAAAATATTTGCAAATACTTTAAAATAATGCAAAATTCATTTTAAATCAATTTTATTTATTTATTAACTAGCAAATATTACGTTTGA